CAACCATCGCCGGAGATGGTCAAAATTGAGGATGAGCCACTGCCGATGCAAGAGATAAGGGGGACAATCTCATTAGTTTGAGAAAAATATCAAGGAGAGCACAAAAACCACTGCTTTGTGATTAGATATGAGAAAGCAAAGAGACTGATATGAGAGAGTGAGCATAGTCTCTTAAAGCATTAATTGATCTCTGCAAAAGAGAAAAGTCATAATGACTGCTTATAACTACGAGAGAGAAAAAGTAGTTGAATTGACAAGGCATAATAAGAGATAAGATGTGATCATTTAACATGCTATCATAAGGTGCCAAGCATATATGGAGAGTTTCAATAGAGAAGAGATTAAGTCTCAAAAAATCAAACATATTTTTGACATCCAATCCTAAAAAGCCACGCATACTTTACATTACACATTCGGACAGATCAGGTGTAGTGAATATTTTTTCCAAGAAGACTGAACACCGACCAATCTATTAAAAAATTTAACATTTTCAAACCAACGACCAACCATACAAGATGCGAAATCAACCATGACTCAATGGCTCGAGTCAGTTATAGTCGGTTTATTCGGATTTTATGGGTTTGTGAACAGCCCTACCGCTGGTGTCCCATTGACCAAAACAAACATCTGCACTGTTAAGATGCAGAAATGAATCCACCATCTCCACGGCTCCCCAAAGCCCATTATATCCATCATGGATAGTAAGAAATCGCAATTAACATTCTCATATGCCTTCTCAATATCCAGTTTGCAAATCACATCTGCCTACCCTTGCCAAATACGTGAATCCACACACTTATTAGCCAGTAAAATTGCATCCAAAATCTGGCGACCTCATACAAAAGTACTCAGGAACTTAGACACCATCCCCTGGAAAACAACTCTAAGCCTATTAGCCAAGACTTTGGCCAACAACTTCTACACACTCCCAAGCAGGCTAATCGGTCTAAAATAACATATGTCCTCTGCCACCCCTTCTTCAAAATCAATGCAATGAATGTTGCATTAAAACTCTTCTCAAACTACCCAGATTGAAAATACTACGCCATTATAGTCATCACATCCGCCTTCACTACAACCCAACAATGTTGTAGGAAAGCCAATGTAAAGCGAATCAGGCTTGGGGCCTTATCGCCATTCATACCTTTTAACGCCCCAAAAACCTCCTCTTTGAAAAACGCTTGCTCCAATGCCTACCGATCAATCTCCAAGATCACATCAAACTGAACCCTGTCCAGTCTCGGACGCCACACCCCCTTTGCCTAATGGAACAACCTTTGATAAAACCCCAACAATCCCTCCCCCAATCTCCTTCTTTGACATCAAATCCACCCAATCCACCCGTATCTTACCTAGATGGTTAACCCTACGATGGGCATTGGCCATTCAACGAAAAAATCTCATGTTACAATCACCCTCTTTCAACTAAAGACACCTAGACTTTTGTTGAAAGCTAATTTCTTCCATCCGGGCAAGATGAGCATAATCCCCCCTTACATGATCCTTAATTAGGATATCATCCCCATTCAACCCCCATCAACTTCTTTAGCATCTAGGGACTGGAGCACTACCAAAACTTCCGCCTTCCGACCTTTTAGGGTTTAGGGTTTATCTTATATCCTACTTTTGCGAGTCTTGCCCCAAATTTGGGTACTTTGTCACAAGGAGGCTAAGTTGACCACATTGGTATCTTTAAAGTATAGTTGCATTGCATGGGGAAAGCTTAACATAGAACTATCTAGGACATGTGAGATACCATCCCAAACGTGACATGCAGGTTATAGAGCAAACGGCGACCATCAGCTCTCTAACAAGTAATACAGAGATACTCTTTTAACTCTGAGTTTATAAGCTTCATTATTAGTTAGATTAGACAATGATCGACCTTTGTGTAAAACGAGACACCATACAGTCATCTTTGGGTGGTAGGATCGCAACTCTTAATAGAATAATGATTGAACATTAAGAGAGAAAAGCCTATGTAGTGATAGGTGTCACTAAGGAAGGAGTGTGATGCTCTCAAAAGATTTGTGAGTATCACCATCCCCTTTACTCGAGTTGGAAGCCAGAGAAATAAATCACGTCACTGACCATAACAAGTGTACACGAAAACAACACAATGACCGCAAAAAACAAAATACACATCCCCATGATCAGTGATGCGACTTGATATTTAAGCTCTCTAACTTGATTGCGAAGGAAGTGTGAACTGCTCAAATCTTCTGAGTCTAACTAAGTTGAGGAGCTTAAGCAGTAGGTTGAATCGTCGACTATAGGGAGAACCAAAAAAAAAAAAAACAGCTACACAATGGCTAAATGACTATAAAAACATAGTATACCTCTCCATAGTCAGTGATGCAACTTACCGCTCAAGATCAACACCTGAACTAGTCTCCAAAATCTGAGAGTATTGCACTTAATCTTTAGCCGACAACTCTCTACTTAGATTATCTCTTTCAACGGTCAATTTGGCTATTGCTCTTTCAGGAGTAGTGATCAAGTTACCCAATGGTGTTTCCATTGTGGCTCGATCAACAAAATGCTCACTTGTTGTCTAGTCCAATCGAAAACATAGTTCATCTACTAGAGACAATAGAGTATCTCTCATCCCAACCAAAAAAAATCCATGGTCGCCTCTTTTTCTCCAATCTTCTTGATGTGATCAACGAGGGAGCATTCCATGTCTCGCACAATGCTAAGCACCTAGAATTGAGATAAAAATCGCAAAAGTATGAAACTAACTATGGGTAGGACTCCCAAACGTAACAAATATATTTTATCCTGACATAAGAAGAGCAATTCAATTGTCCAACAGTATTAAAGGTCTTATTAATCTTCAAATCAGCACATCCAAGTTTGAAGTTAAACGAAAACCCCCATCACTCCCAAACACGACACCTCAACTTACACATTGCTAGTGCTCTAGTAAAGCAAAAACAACAAAACCAAAGTAATTCTAAACTACACTCTCTTTGGTCCACGATTGCATTTAGCATATGCAAGAAGCTTTAAACCACAAGATTACCCCTAGTAGATGAGTTATAATCTTGTGAGGGATTCTAGAGACTATAAACCACAAGATTACCACTATTTACTCTGCTTCTTTTTCCCGTTGCTTCCTTTTTAATTACAATTACAATAGCACCTTTTGTAATCAACACAATCAAATTCACTGTTCCTATTTTTTATTCCTTAACAATAATTCTCTCTCGATTTACCTTCTCACTTGTGTCTCACTCCTTCATCGAAGACACCAATAACTATCCATTCATAACTAAAATCATTAAAACATAATGCAATTGCTTATCCATCCTATCAAACTAATTCATTATATTCATATATTCCTTATTCTTCTCAGTGCCTATTATCTTCTTCCACATTTCTTTACTTATTTAATTTTTCTTAATAATTTTATTTCAAATCAATTGCTCACATGCACTCTTGTACATATAATTTAACCACCCAAACATGTCATCTTATCATGTGATATTCAATATACCATTACTATCGACACTCCAAACCAATATACTCAAATTCTATTATATGCTATCAATATTACTTCACCCACCAAAATATAATAATTTAATAATGTATTACCTTGTGTCAGGATATCACACTCTCCCTCTTAAAAATTCCGTTCTCGAAATACCATCCTTAATACCTTGAAACTCGATAACCATGCTTCCATTGCACACTCAAATAAAAACTATTAACTTTTTATGTTTAAGAGACTCGAATAATCACTTTCTCATATTTAAAGTTCAATACCCATGCAAGATGACCACTCTCAAAACTTCGGCGTCACACCTATCTGATAAACATGCTTCTAACTTCTATCTTCTTAGACCTCAAGTACACGGGGTTTAGGGAAGTCTTAAGAATATCATAGCATAATAGGTCATGTTTAGTCAAACTAACATCAATGTTATTAATCCTGCACACATGTAACTAAACAACTCCACAATTATTCCTCAATCCATTATCAAAATATTATTGATAAGTGAGTGCACCAAACTAACAATTAAAATATCTATTACATTAACCAAGTTCATTATCAATTTTTTGTTATCTGAATATCCCATAAGTCATACGCCTTAAATTATCCTAGTTTTTCATATGCTAACTTGTCACTCTTTGTGTAATTAAATGCGATAGGTGCACCAAGGCGCCAAGGTCTCCTGGGGCCTAGGCTCAAGGCACAAGCTTCACCGAAGTGAGGTGCACCTTGTACGAAAAAAAAAAAAAAAATTAATATAAGTAAATAATTTAGAATTCAACATAAACAAAATGAAATGTTAAACATCTAGTGCTTTTTGGAGATTGGGAATTAGGGCTAATTTTTCTTCTATCATTGATTTGGGGTTAAATACCTAATGTATTGGCATCTGTAATAAGAGTGGAAATTTTCTGTAGCTGCACCATATTAAATCAATTGTTGGATTTTAAATAAAACCAATTAAAGTAACAATAAAAAAAGTCCCCAAGATGCAAGTCTTGGGCCAATCAGGCACCTTATCACAACCGTCTAGCTTAGAACACTACAAGGCAGAACCCTTGGGACTGAACGGGACTTGGGCCTAGGGGCGCCTTATCGAAGTCGCCTGGCCTGGAACACTACAAGGCGCAAATCTTGGGCCTGGATAGGACCTAGGCCTAGGAGCACGCCTAGGCACACTTTTACACTTAATGAATTAATACAACTAAATCTTTAAAGTAAAAATTACCCAATCACTTCATATACCAAGTTCGAACAACGGATTGTAATTATTACTGAATCCAAAATCGACAATAACATAATTGCACCAAAACCATGAGTTTTCTCTGTAAGGAATTAACAACATCATTCTCCAATGAGGAATTGTCATCATGTCCTACCTAGTAGATCCCACTCACCAGATAGAATAAGACAACAATCACAACACTAAATACAAACACTGTACATCTACATTTGAACAATGAACTAACGTCTACCACTCTTCTACTTATCAAACATCAATTAATCCAGGTTCAATGATTTACCAAAATCTCACAGATGAGCAAGCTCCCAAATCAAAGGTATGCCGGGTCATTACTAGAAAACCAAATCCTGTTGCCCAAATATTTTCTTAGTATCAACATTCCTATATAATGTACTATGCAAACACATAATATATATGATCATAACCTCAAAATCAAATATAACTCAATCATAAACCCTAATCATCCGCAAGTATAAATTCATGGGAAAACTGAGAACAGCAGAACCAAAAAACAGAGCAATTGTCACTTCAGAAGAAGCAAATCAGCGACATATTTACAAGCATTGAGAAGATTTTGAATCAACAGAAAGGAATCGTTACAAACAAGATCTAAGCTCTACATTTTCGCACACATGTACAGAGAAAGGGGAACAAAAATATCACAAATATCTCAGAATATATTAGACAGGATATACAGTGTATACCTGTGAGAGCTAAGGTGACGGAAGAGGACGGAAGTGGTGGTTCTGGTTGACGGCAGTGATGGATCGGCCCGCGGTGGTGGATGACGACGGCTGTGACGGTGGTGTATATATAGAGAGAGAGGGGGGGATACCAGTAAGAGCTACGGTGGTGAAGGACGGCGATGGTGGTGCTGGTTGACGACGGTGGCTGATGGGCTGGCGGTGGTGGACGAAGACGGGCGTGAGGGCGGTGTTTGGGAGAATGGCGAAGAGTCCAGGAGCTTCTATTTGCACACACCATAAGCAATTGGAGGGAGCTTCTATTTGCACACACTATAAGCAATTAGTTGGGAAGTAATTAGTTTGGAAGTAGTTTTTTTTTAAAAGGAAGATGTCTTGTAGTTCAAATTTTATGATTTAGAAGTGATTCAAATGGTCAAAACGACGTCGTTTTGGCCATTTTTATGTTGTTCTGTACTCAAAACGACGTTGTTTTGGCCATTTGAACCACTTTTGAGCCACAAAATTTAAGTTACGTAGCATAACCGAATAAACAATTAGTTTAGAAGTAAACTTTCAAATTTTTGTCATTTTCTCGACATTAAACTTCCGAATATATTTATTTGATGTCTATAATAATAAATTCACTTGAAAAAAAATTTATAATAAAAATAATTTTTATGAAATGTGTGCAAAGAGGGGAAGGGGATATGTAAATAGAAGCTCCTGAGAGTCCAGGAGGAGGAGCGATTTGTTTTAGGCTAAATAACTGTAAGGGCATCACAATGAATGTGTTAAAATTGTGCGTTAAAGTGTGTTATATGACAAAAAGTGTTAAAAGTGAGATTTAAAAATGTGTTAAGAGTTTGTTAATTTAGTAAGTGAATAGTGAATGAATGGTGATACAATGGATGTGTTAAGGGGTGTGTTAAATATATATATATATATATAATAAATAAAATAAATAAATAATTTAGTTTAATAAAAAATTTCAAGCTTAAAATTAAATTTCAAGTCCAAAAAAAAATCCCAACAAGTTAAAAAAAAAAAAAAATTTGCCGTTGACTGGTTAACCGACCGAACATCCGGCCGGTCAACCCGGAAGACAAAACAACATCCCCCTTCGCTAGCTAAAGGGCTAACTGCAGATAATAAACATTTTAGCAAACATTACTAACGCACACCAATAACACACCTACTAATAGCTTCATTGTGAGAGCAAACACACAAAATAACTGGTTAAAAATTAGCACCTAACACTAGCATAGTGTTTAGCTACTCCATTGCTGATGCTCTTATACAAACCAACAGTCTTGTTAGTGCAGTATATGAGGCTGCTTATGAATTAGAGATGCTATATTTGCAAATAGAAGGGTCATTATACAAAGCAACGGTCTTGTTAGTGCAGCATATGAGGCTGCTTATGAATTAGAGAGAGAATATTTGCAAATAGAAGGGTCATTATACAAAGCAACGGTCTTGTTAGTGCAGCATATGAGGCTGCTTATGAATTAGAGATGCTATATTTGCAAATAGAAGGGTCATTATACAAAGCAACGGTCTTGTTAGTGCAGCATATGAGGCTGCTTATGAATTAGAGATGCTATATTTGCAAATAGAAGGGTCATTATACAAAGCAACGGTCTTGTTAGTGCAGCATATGAGGCTGCTTATGAATTAGAGATGCTATATTTGCAAATAGAAGGGTCATTATACAAAGCAACGGTCTTGTTAGTGCAGCATATGAGGCTGCTTATGAATTAGAGATGCTATATTTGCAAATAGAAGGGTCATTATACAAAGCAACGGTCTTGTTAGTGCAGCATATGAGGCTGCTTATGAATTAGAGATGCTATATTTGCAAATAGAAGGGTCATTATACAAAGCAACGGTCTTGTTAGTGCAGCATATGAGGCTGCTTATGAATTAGAGATGCTATATTTGCAAATAGAAGGGTCATTATACAAAGCAACGGTCTTGTTAGTGCAGCATATGAGGCTGCTTATGAATTAGAGATGCTATATTTGCAAATAGAAGGGTCATTATACAAAGCAACGGTCTTGTTAGTGCAGCATATGAGGCTGCTTATGAATTAGAGATGCTATATTTGCAAATAGAAGGGTCATTATACAAAGCAACGGTCTTGTTAGTGCAGCATATGAGGCTGCTTATGAATTAGAGATGCTATATTTGCAAATAGAAGGGTCATTATACAAAGCAACGGTCTTGTTAGTGCAGCATATGAGGCTGCTTATGAATTAGAGATGCTATATTTGCAAATAGAAGGGTCATTATACAAAGCAACGGTCTTGTTAGTGCAGCATATGAGGCTGCTTATGAATTAGAGATGCTATATTTGCAAATAGAAGGGTCATTATACAAAGCAACGGTCTTGTTAGTGCAGCATATGAGGCTGCTTATGAATTAGAGATGCTATATTTGCAAATAGAAGGGTCATTATACAAAGCAACGGTCTTGTTAGTGCAGCATATGAGGCTGCTTATGAATTAGAGATGCTATATTTGCAAATAGAAGGGTCATTATACAAAGCAACGGTCTTGTTAGTGCAGCATATGAGGCTGCTTATGAATTAGAGATGCTATATTTGCAAATAGAAGGGTCATTATACAAAGCAACGGTCTTGTTAGTGCAGCATATGAGGCTGCTTATGAATTAGAGATGCTATATTTGCAAATAGAAGGGTCATTATACAAAGCAACGGTCTTGTTAGTGCAGCATATGAGGCTGCTTATGAATTAGAGATGCTATATTTGCAAATAGAAGGGTCATTATACAAAGCAACGGTCTTGTTAGTGCAGCATATGAGGCTGCTTATGAATTAGAGATGCTATATTTGCAAATAGAAGGGTCATTATACAAAGCAACGGTCTTGTTAGTGCAGCATATGAGGCTGCTTATGAATTAGAGATGCTATATTTGCAAATAGAAGGGTCATTATACAAAGCAACGGTCTTGTTAGTGCAGCATATGAGGCTGCTTATGAATTAGAGATGCTATATTTGCAAATAGAAGGGTCATTATACAAAGCAACGGTCTTGTTAGTGCAGCATATGAGGCTGCTTATGAATTAGAGATGCTATATTTGCAAATAGAAGGGTCATTATACAAAGCAACGGTCTTGTTAGTGCAGCATATGAGGCTGCTTATGAATTAGAGATGCTATATTTGCAAATAGAAGGGTCATTATACAAAGCAACGGTCTTGTTAGTGCAGCATATGAGGCTGCTTATGAATTAGAGATGCTATATTTGCAAATAGAAGGGTCATTATACAAAGCAACGGTCTTGTTAGTGCAGCATATGAGGCTGCTTATGAATTAGAGATGCTATATTTGCAAATAGAAGGGTCATTATACAAAGCAACGGTCTTGTTAGTGCAGCATATGAGGCTGCTTATGAATTAGAGATGCTATATTTGCAAATAGAAGGGTCATTATACAAAGCAACGGTCTTGTTAGTGCAGCATATGAGGCTGCTTATGAATTAGAGATGCTATATTTGCAAATAGAAGGGTCATTATACAAAGCAACGGTCTTGTTAGTGCAGCATATGAGGCTGCTTATGAATTAGAGATGCTATATTTGCAAATAGAAGGGTCATTATACAAAGCAACGGTCTTGTTAGTGCAGCATATGAGGCTGCTTATGAATTAGAGATGCTATATTTGCAAATAGAAGGGTCATTATACAAAGCAACGGTCTTGTTAGTGCAGCATATGAGGCTGCTTATGAATTAGAGATGCTATATTTGCAAATAGAAGGGTCATTATACAAAGCAACGGTCTTGTTAGTGCAGCATATGAGGCTGCTTATGAATTAGAGATGCTATATTTGCAAATAGAAGGGTCATTATACAAAGCAACGGTCTTGTTAGTGCAGCATATGAGGCTGCTTATGAATTAGAGATGCTATATTTGCAAATAGAAGGGTCATTATACAAAGCAACGGTCTTGTTAGTGCAGCATATGAGGCTGCTTATGAATTAGAGATGCTATATTTGCAAATAGAAGGGTCATTATACAAAGCAACGGTCTTGTTAGTGCAGCATATGAGGCTGCTTATGAATTAGAGATGCTATATTTGCAAATAGAAGGGTCATTATACAAAGCAACGGTCTTGTTAGTGCAGCATATGAGGCTGCTTATGAATTAGAGATGCTATATTTGCAAATAGAAGGGTCATTATACAAAGCAACGGTCTTGTTAGTGCAGCATATGAGGCTGCTTATGAATTAGAGATGCTATATTTGCAAATAGAAGGGTCATTATACAAAGCAACGGTCTTGTTAGTGCAGCATATGAGGCTGCTTATGAATTAGAGATGCTATATTTGCAAATAGAAGGGTCATTATACAAAGCAACGGTCTTGTTAGTGCAGCATATGAGGCTGCTTATGAATTAGAGATGCTATATTTGCAAATAGAAGGGTCATTATACAAAGCAACGGTCTTGTTAGTGCAGCATATGAGGCTGCTTATGAATTAGAGATGCTATATTTGCAAATAGAAGGGTCATTATACAAAGCAACGGTCTTGTTAGTGCAGCATATGAGGCTGCTTATGAATTAGAGATGCTATATTTGCAAATAGAAGGGTCATTATACAAAGCAACGGTCTTGTTAGTGCAGCATATGAGGCTGCTTATGAATTAGAGATGCTATATTTGCAAATAGAAGGGTCATTATACAAAGCAACGGTCTTGTTAGTGCAGCATATGAGGCTGCTTATGAATTAGAGATGCTATATTTGCAAATAGAAGGGTCATTATACAAAGCAACGGTCTTGTTAGTGCAGCATATGAGGCTGCTTATGAATTAGAGATGCTATATTTGCAAATAGAAGGGTCATTATACAAAGCAACGGTCTTGTTAGTGCAGCATATGAGGCTGCTTATGAATTAGAGATGCTATATTTGCAAATAGAAGGGTCATTATACAAAGCAACGGTCTTGTTAGTGCAGCATATGAGGCTGCTTATGAATTAGAGATGCTATATTTGCAAATAGAAGGGTCATTATACAAAGCAACGGTCTTGTTAGTGCAGCATATGAGGCTGCTTATGAATTAGAGATGCTATATTTGCAAATAGAAGGGTCATTATACAAAGCAACGGTCTTGTTAGTGCAGCATATGAGGCTGCTTATGAATTAGAGATGCTATATTTGCAAATAGAAGGGTCATTATACAAAGCAACGGTCTTGTTAGTGCAGCATATGAGGCTGCTTATGAATTAGAGATGCTATATTTGCAAATAGAAGGGTCATTATACAAAGCAACGGTCTTGTTAGTGCAGCATATGAGGCTGC